ATAGAAGTTAGAGGCTGATCCATTATTAACAAGGATATCTATGGTAAGGTAAAATAAAATTTACTGAGGTCAAATTTAGGCTTGCGATTGTTTAAAATTGTCTAACTGGTCACTGAATTGAATAAAATGAATAAACTAGTACAAAATAAATTAATATCTAAACTTAAAGGATGTTTAAAAAAAGGTCAAGAGTCAAGATGTAATAAAATGGTAAAATAAATTAACGTTTTAAAATTTTTCAAAAAATATTTATCGCTATCTGGTCAAAAGACAAAGTGAAGTAAAACAATAAACTGAATTAAAGTTTAAAATTAAAAGATATTTACATCTATCTGGTCAAGAGTTAAAGTAAAATAAAAATAAGTTAAATCTAAGCCTAAACAATAAACAGTATAACAACACGTATAGAAACATAGAAACCCTACGGATCTCCCGGTTGCGTTTTGAACATCATGAAAAATCGTGAAAAATCATCTAACCAGTGCTTCCAACGTAGCACCGGTCAAATAAAGTACGTAAAAAGAATATAATTTATCAACTGAAACAATTTAAAATACATTCACAAACCGCAGAATCCCCCCCGAGACCACAAACACCGGAAACGATGGGCCGACAAAATGGCCGGCAGCAATTTTCGGCTGTCGCCACACATTACAACGAGCCCTGAGTGATTTCCGCCGACGTTGCGTGTGAAAACACGCCGTAATTCGGCCATCTTGAAATCCATCATGCGCGCCGTCGCTGAATCTAGTCTCTTCTGTCAGCGATTTTGATAACACGGAACTAAGTTGTGGATAATTAATTACTAATAAATAATTAACAATCAATCATCCACACGCATTGACTACTATATTAATTCCTTTATCTTTTCTTTTTTAACAGTCGCCGCAGGACGCCGAATAGCCTCCCCGGATCATCGCCCGGTGAGTCGTTCTTACGTCGTGCGACACCATAACCTCACGTGTCAATTTTTACATTATTCATTATTTTTCCCGTTTCAGAACTCCGTTTCCGGCAGTTCCTGCTTTCTGTCGCCTCTGGGGTTGTGTTTGTTACAACTTTCAACGTCCCCCAGGGCGCCTCCAACACGGGCTAGCCACCCACACTGTGACGGCTGTCGCATTGTTCGCGCGTATTTCCTTGGCCTGTTGCTTTTTAAGGCAATCTAGGCTTTACCAACGTGATATTCACGAGAGAAGCTCGTCGACCAGGTAAGGTTTAGTCCTCTCGCTACACCCTGTTTACCCACCCCTCATGCTATTCCTATTTTTCAGGACAGTTCAGATTGCTGAACACACCAGGGTGAAACCACGCGCGGTCAACCTCAATTTTTTACAAGTATTACCCTGGGTGAGTCCTCATTATGGTTTCTCACCCAGGATTCATTTACTTTTTTCATTGCGCATTGGCTGTACGCAGACTGAAATAGTCTGCGTACAGTTTACGCAGCCAATTTTCTTTTATGTACACTCCTGGGTGGACCCTCCTTATGGCTTCCCATCCGGAGTATACTCTTTTTTCTTGTACTACAATCCTGTTGCTTTTTTCTTTTCCTGGTGACTGTACGTAATGTCGCGAAGAAATACTACCGCCTAGCCAACGTCATATGTGTATATTCGCTTCGTTTAACAGTAACACGTCAACCATGTGAGATATTGAGGAACCAAGCACACCTTTAAATTCGGGATCGAAAAATTTTAAGATTTCCTTGGTTACATTTAGCTGAAGGAATTATATTTAAAGTCGAAATATTTAATAATCTGTATGTTCCCCCACATCGTAGCCCGAAGATTACACTCCGATGTCCAGAATGCATAGCAGAAATGTACTCCATTTAGAGTACGAGTACCGTACCCGTACGTAACGTGACAATCGCGAAGAGATAATATCTCTAGCGTGACGTTATACGTTTATTTTCGATTCGTTTAACTGTATCACGTGAAGCGTTTGAGCTATAGAAAAAACAAACCACACCTTTGTATTCGGTACCAAAAAAAGGCAAGGTTTCGTTGATCACATTTAGTTTTAGGAATTATTTTTATCGTTGTTACGGGTTTACGCGGTCTTGTCCTCACATGGAGCGTAAAACTTGTTTGGGTTTGTGGATCGGTCTAAACGTTCCCCGATTGAGGGTGATACGTCGTTGACAACGAATCCGGCAGGATTGGAACCGTCGGCGTACGTGGTATATACGCCGTTCTCCAAAGGATGGAAGAGGTTGGCGGTTCAACGTGTGCAGTTAACACGTCGTAGGTAAGGGTTGTGGTGGACCGGTCAGAACATTCAACGCATGTGGTTCTACGTCGCTCTCCAACAAGTCCGATAGGATCGGAACCGTCGGCGTACGTGGTATATACGCCGTTCTCCAAAGGATGGAAAAGGTTGGAGGTTCAACGTATACGTTGACGGTGCGGGGTGGTGGACCGGTCCGAACGTTCAACGTATGTGGTTCTACGTCGTTCTCTGACAAGTCCGATAGGATTGGAACCGTCGGCGTACGTGGTATATACGCCGTTCTCCAAAGGATGGACAAGGTTTGGTAATTGTGAGGACAGTACGTACCGTAATGTCGGATATACCTCGAGCGGTTAAGGTATATCCTTGGTGAGTCTAGCAATTCCGTTACTAATGTTACGATGAGATGGTTGAGTGAGTATCGGCTAAGCAATTCTACAACAACTATATTCTAATAATATTCAATTATGGGTACAATAAGATTACAATGTTTAAATATGAATTAGGATGGTTGATTCTTGGTGGCGCAAGAATCTTCCTTCTCGACTTTACACGGTGAGAACGCGGGGACGTCGTAGACAAGTATGTCTAGTTGACACTTACGAATTTAGTATTATACTTGGTTGCTCGAAAGGGAATTGAGCCCGATCTTGCTCGTGTCGAACGATGACTATACAAATACTGTGCTACTTTAATGTTCAGGGTAACTCTGAACTGTGACTGTCCCCGAGCCCCGAAAATCATGCCCTTATATACTCCAAAATTTGTATTTTTTGGGTGGTGGAGGCCCTAATTTTCCCATGAGACCGAAGCGCGTTCGTTTACTTTATCTCAAGGGGTGAGCTCTAGGCGGATGTCTCGGCGCCGCCGTGTCGGCTAGTCTGCGTACGTAACAGAGGTCAAATTTAGGATTGCGATTGTTTAAAATTATCTTACTGGTCACTGAATTGAATAAAATGAATAAGCTAGTACAAAATAAATTAATATCTAAACTTAAAGGATGTTTAAAAAAAGGTCAAGAGTCAAGATGTAATAAAATAGTAAAATAAATTAACGTTTTAAAATTAAAAAAAAAAAATTTATCGCTATCTGGTAAAAAGACAAAGTGAAGTAAAATAATAAACTGAATTAAAGTTTAAAATTAAAAGATATTTACATCTATCTGGTAAAGAGTTAAAGTAAAATAAAAATAAGTTAAATCTAAGCCTAAACAATAAACAGTATAACAACACGTATGGAAACATATACATAGAAACCCTATGGATCTCCCAGTTGCGTTTTTGAACGTAAAAAATCATGAAAAATCGTGAAAAATCATCTAACCAGTGCTTCCAACGTAGCATCGGTCAAATAAAGTACGTAAAAAAAATATAATTTATCAACTGAAAGAATTTAAAATACACTCATAAACCGCAGAATCCTCCTCGAGACCACCAACACCGGAAACGATGGGCCGACAAAATGGCCGGCAGCAATTTTCGGCTGTCGCCACACATTACAACGAGCCCTGAGTGATTTCCGCTGACGTTGCGTGTGTAAACACGCCGTAATTCGGCCATCTTGAAATCCCCAGACGCCCGCGCATGCGCGCCGTCGCTGTTCCTAGTCTCTTCTGCCAGCGATTTTAGTAGCACGGAACTAAGTTGTGAATAATTAATTAATAATAAATAATTAACAATCAATCATCCACACGCATTGACTACTGTATTAATTCCTTTTTCTTTTCTTTTTTAACAGTCGCCGCAGGACGCCGAAAAGCCTCCCCGGATCATCGCCCGGTGAGTCGTTCTTACGTCGTGCGACAACATAACCTCACGTGTCAATTTTTACATTATTCATTATTTTTACCGTTTCCGGCAGTTCCTGCTTTCTGTCGCCTTTGGAGTTGTGTTTGTTACAACTTTCAACGTCCCCCAGGGCGCCTCCAGCACGGGCCAGCCACCCACACTGTGACGGCTGTCGCATTGTTCGCGCGTATTTCCTTGGCCTGTTGCTTTTTAAGGCAATCTAGGCTTTACCAACGTGATATTCACGAGAGAAGCTCGTCGACCAGGTAAGGTTTAGTCCTCTCGCTACACCCTATTTACCTACCCCTCATGCTATTTCTATTTTTCAGGACAGTTCAGATTGCTGAACACACCAGGGTGAAACCACGCGCGGTCAACCTTCATTTTTTACAGGTATTACCCTGGGTGAATCCTCATTATGGTTTCTCACCCAGGATTCATTTACTTTTTTCACTGCGCAGTGGCTGTACGCAGACTGAAATAGTCTGCGTACAGTTTACACAGCCAATTTTCTTTTATGTACACTTCTGGGTGGGCCGTCCTTATGGCTTCCCACCCGGAGTATACTCTTTTTTCTTGTACTACAATCCTGTTTCTTTTTTCTTTTCCTGGTGACTGTGCAAGACCACATCACGGTACTCTCACAGCACCCTTCTTTCCTCGGCTGTCACTCAGCCACACCATTAATAAATAAATAAATAATTTAAAACCTTTCGCAGGTGTAATGTTGAGCCCTCCCTGAGGCTTTTAGGCACCCCCTGGCCGCTATTTAACGAAAACTCAAGGATACCTATACATCAGATAAGGCCTCGTCCAATCACTACCATTAAATACTCGTATTCATCAGCCTAAAATTTATTTTTTAGGACTCGATCGGGTTGTGAGCCGCTCCAGGGACAACTCCACCCCCGCATCGTTACTCTGGTATTTCCACTCTGCTCGGGCGATCGTTCCCGAGCAGGGCTTCGTCAATATTTTTAAAACTTAAACTTTATAGCTAAAAAGGCAACTCCGACGTTCCATTAATTTCTTCTTTTCTTTTTTGTAGGTTTAGAGAGGGATTTCGCCCTTCCCTCTCTCTCTACTCTCCTCTCCGTATCTTCTCTTGCCCGCTGTATCTTGCAGAGGTATGATGTCACCTCTGCCCAGTTTGCTTTATTTTCAGTCATTACCCTAACGATTTTTCGGGCGTGAAATTCCCCTCGTATAGGCTGTCCATTTTGATTCTATCGGCCGCGCTCGCATCACATTTAAAAATGGCGTGCTCGGCATCGTCATTTCCCTGTCCGCACGCGAGGTAGCGGTCAGTAGTCCTCTTCTTTCTACGACAGAGGTATGACCCGAAACTCCCATGCCCAGTCAACGCCTGGGTTACATGGAAGGTAAGGGCCATACCCCTGTCTCGCTTCGTCCATGTTTCGATGTTTGGGATAAGCCGCCTCGTCCACGCAGCGTTGTTTCCTAACGCCCCTGCCATTCCTCTTGGACGAGGACGGCCTCCCTGTCCATGCTTTTTTGGTCGCTCTTTTTCATGTACCGCGAGTCGCGGAGCCGGACGCGCAAATCCATCGGCTCGACACCCGCGAGCACCCCGACGGCGTCCGCCGACACCGTACGATACACCCTGACGACGCGTATCAGGGCAGTCCTCTGTGCGGACACCAGAGCTGCCCGGTGGTTGCCTCCCTTTGTACTTTTTGCCGCCCATACTGGGACGGCGTACATAATTACACTTTCCCAGACGTGATAGTAGAACCCCCCCCCCCCCCCCCGATGTTCCTGAGTGCCGAGCTCAACGCGTTTCCGTACCCTGTGGCTTTTTCCACCACGGTTCTCAGGTGTTTCGAGAAAGAGCATCGGCCGTCCAGCCAGACCCCCAGGTACTTGACCTCAGTGCTCAACGGAATGCTGCAGCCCAGGATGCCAAGCTCCTTTACAGCGGGGCAACGCGACCCTGACAGCTGCAGCATTTCCGTCTTCTCCACTGCAAACGTTAACCACTTTTCTCGGAGCCAACCGGATACCTTATCCATCGTGGTTCTGAGGTTCCGCTGTACGCCCTCGTAGCTGTAGCTTGATACAAGTACAGTCACGTCGTCGGCGTAGGCGACCAGCCTCACCCCGGGAACCACGATGCTCAATAAACCATCATATACCAGGTTCCATAATAACGGCCCTATTATGGAACCCTGGGGCACGTCGCCGAACACGCTCATCTGCACACTCTCTGTGGACCTGCCCTTGCGGAAGCCGTACTGCTCTTTGGCAAGTCCGTCCGCGCCGATTCGTTCATCGATTTTCCTTTTTAGGAATTTTTCCCACACTTTGCTTAGGGGGGAGAGCACGCAGATGGGTTGATACGTGCTCGGATCCCCCGCCTGCTTCCAAGGCTTCGGGATGAGGACCAGACGTGCCCTGTTCCATTCGCTCGGCATTTTTCCGCCGTTCCATAACCCGCACAGAAGACTACGAAGATGCTGCGGGTGTCGTTTTGCTATGGCATGTACCGCGTCTGGCGGGACGCAGTCCATACCCGTTGCTTTCTTCAGGGCGGCCCCCCCCGGACTGCCTCGCGGACGTCCTCGATGCTAACCTGCTCGAGAGTCAGGTCGTCCCTTACTAGGTGACCCGAGTCCGTCGACGCTTACTTCGTCGGTTTCGTGGCGAAAGGGCCGGCGATCGAGTCCCTGGCCTCCTCGTGCGTCGGCGCGATGCTGGTACTCTTCTCCCGATATTTCTTCATGAGGACCCGGTAGGGTTGCCCCCACGGGTCCTCGTTTAGCATCTCGACGAACCCGCGCCACTTTTCTCGTTTCTTCTTTCTGGTCAGGGCGTGCAAGAAACTCAACCTGTTCACGGTTTCCAGGAGAATACAATCCTTTCGGTCTGTGGTCATGAACCCCCATGCCGCGGACTTGGCGTCAAAATCGCCGGCGACGAGCACGTCGCCCTTTCCCCGCCTTCACGTCTTCTCTACCTCGTCCAGGAAGTTTCCATAGGCGTCGGCATCGATGTTCGGGGAAACGTAGCACCCGACGATCGCTAGACCGTCGAGTTCAACCGCCACGATTCCTCTCACACTCACCGACTTGTCCACCTTCACCCGCATGCATTTATTCACGATGATGATGGCGGTGTCACCCCAAGGGCCGTCGGAGTACCAGCCCCCTTGGGCCCTGTAGGGCTCGGCCACCACCACCACGGGGGGGGGAGCCGATATTCTTTCAGATCTTGCGCCAATCTGCACCTGTTCAGCTTAACCTGAAGCAGGCGCAGTCTTTACAAGTCTGCTCGCGTCAATCCCGCCCCCCCCCCCCTCCTACGCGCGGGGCACCGCAAGCCCACAAGCACATCTCGTGGTTCGCGTCCCTCTTTAGGGAGGCGCAGACCGGGTATTTAGGACTGCTCCTGCAGTCCCTCGCCCACTGGCCCTCCCCTCCGCATCTTCTGCAGGCGTTCCGTCCCAACGGGACTTCAGGCCCTCGGCACTCGCGGCTGTTATGCCCGGCGGCGTGACACCTGTAACACCTCTTACTTTTGGGGAGCACGCGTACTCGCCCTTGCCTCGTTATCGACCTTACCCTCACCTCCGAGCTCGATCAGGAGGTCTCCGTCCCTTGTGGACCTGACTCCTAATCTCCCCAATGTCTCCACGCTTACCGGCGTCGACGTCGCGGTACATATCGGCGAGCTTCTCTTCCCCCTTGTTTTTTACGAGGACCGCGTTGTCCGGCAGTCCCTTAATGTCCCTCCTGTGTCGGTGTTGCCGGTGGCGCAGGTTTTCTCCGCCCCGGCCTCCGCACCTCCAACCACTCGTCCTCCCTCTTAGCCCGAGGGGGAGGAGGTCGCGGTGGTTCCACCAAGCCCTTGCGAAGGACCTATGTGTAGAGAGAGGCCTGTCTCGCGACACGCCTCGTCACCTTTATCTTCCTGGGAGCGCCCAGGGGGGGATGCCCTCTTTCTCTTCTTGTTGGCCTCCTCACCCCCGCTCGCGGACGTATCTTCGCTGTCGGTCTCGAGGCCGACATTTCTTTTTTCGGGGCGCTCCCGGACAAAAATTGTCCTCGCCCTATGGAGGTCCTCCTCCCTGGTCCTGGCGTTGATCTGCTCCAATATCTTCTTCGCGCCAAGGAGGAGCCGGTCTAGATACGCCGGTACCTCCTTGAACTCCGCGCGGATGTTCCTGTTACCCTCGATGTAAGCTCTATTCCTTTTATTAGCGGTCAACGCCGCCTCCATTACCTCCTTTAGCTTACCGAGTTTGCGCAGGAGGAATTTATCGTATGCTTTCTCCCCTGCGTCACCCCCCTTGGGCGTCGTTGTAATTGCCACTGAGAGTGGGCGACCCTCGACAATCGTCGGGGTCGCCCGGCCTGCCGTTATTCCCTCAGCTCGATCTTCCGGTCTCGGCGGAGTCGCGCCTGCGGACTCGCCCTTTCCGGGCTCCGCTGGAGGCGCGGCCTTTGCTCGAAAATTTTAAGCTCTTCCTTTCCTTTTTCCATTGCAGTTTCAGTAGCTCTCTGCGCAGTAGCCTGGGCTGACACCAACTGCGAGGAACGGTCGATGGATAACCGCCGGGGGGAGCCCGTTCGCTCACCACCCACACCAGCGGGTACTGGGTGATCCGAAGCCCCCTGAACTGTAAACTCCTGTCCTTTCGTTGTACTATCCATAATAATTTTTTAAGTGTTCACCAGGTCGTCAACAAGAAAATCAGGGCAGGACAACATACAACACGATACACAAGAAAAACATGCAAGGTACGACGAGCGTTCTTTACATCTTTTTTCCGATTTTATTTTAATTTATCTTTTCTTTCAGGTATCTGCTGTACCCTCGCCTCCGTTCGGAGCCCATCCGCTAGATGGCTCCGGGGGTACCTCCAGCCAGCAAAACACCTTTTCTTGTGCCTGCGAGATGGCGCCAGCCATCCGGTTTTCGTCTATTTCGTTTACCGAGAATACGCTATACAGCTAATAACTTTAACGATAACGATATTTAAGTAGCGTGACATAACGCCTCTTTGCTAGTCATCAGTTATATTTCCGTTTTTCACCGTAATTTTTAAACACTTTAATTAGCTTATAAGTTATTTTAAAACTCGGCTATTTGTCTCTTACGTTAACGAAAGTTACTTAGAAAGGTTTTTAACGACAATTTCGGTTTCCCCGTTATTTTAAAACACTTAAATTAAATTATACGTTATTTTAAGATTCGGTTATATTTTATGTTAACGAAAATTCTTTAGCAAAGATTTTTAATAAGAGTTCAACTACGACTTCACTAGGCGTATAGCTATGTTCAAGTTTTAACCTATAGAGATTTTTACCTCACGGAATTTTATCGCGAGCTTTCATCTGGGAAATTTAACGCGTTCGTCGCTATTGAATAATGTAGAGATTTTTACCTCACGGAATTTTATCGCGAGCTTTCATCTCGGAAATTTAACGCGTTCGTTGCTATTGAATAACGTTTGCGTGACGCAGCGTTTATTCGCTCCGAACTTCGTTATGTATTTCCGCTTTAGGGTTTGTTGTTAGTATTCTTAATTTTAACTTTAGTCTGGTCTCTAACTCTAAGCTCACAGGCTTTTCCACCCGCGTCACTATCAGTCACGTTCTTTGGCGTTGGGTTTCTTCGCTCCAGGCCATGGTTATGCATTCGTCCGTTTTAATCTTATTAACGCCTTTTTTCTTCTCGAGTTTTGTCGCGCATATCGTTATCGGGCCACTTTCGCGGCATTCCGTCTCCTCATTAATCTTGATGTACTTTT